CTACGGCCAGCCCAGACTCGCCTGCTGCCACCTCTTCTCCCAGCCCCAATCCTTCTTTCTTGCAGTCCGACTCACCTTCCACACCGGACCAACACCACCACCGACCCTGCACTCCTCCTTCTTCCCGTCTGCCATTAACACCATCCTTCACTTCTGCCAATGGCAGCTCCCAGCAGTCCTCCAGCCACGTTATTCCCCTCAGCCCTCACATCTCTATCACTCCAGCTGCTGACCACAACCATGCCACTGCTCCCAGCTCGTCACCTGCCGCTCCCCAAAATGTTCAACCGATGCAAACTCGGGCCAAATCAGGAATTTTCAAACCCAAATCTATTTTTAATTTAAACACGGTTGTTATTTCAGCAGATCCTACTTGTTTTTCTGAGGCAAATAAACAATTAAAGTGGCGTCAGGCTATGGCTGAGGAATTTAATGCACTTATTGCTAACCACACTTGAGACTTAGTACCATTTGATAATTCTAAAAATATTGTTGGATCCAAATGGATTTATAAGACAAAATATCTTTCTGATGGGTCTATTGAGCGCCACAAGGCAAGACTTGTTGCTCAGGGTTTTAAACAGCAGGCCGGTGTAGATTTTTCTGAAACTTTTAGTCCGGTCATAAAACCCACCACTGTTCGTACTGTTCTTACTTTAGCTATTTCTTTTGGGTGGGTTATGCGTCAGCTTGATGTTAAAAATGCTTTTCTTCATGGTCATCTCACAGAAGAAGTTTATATGCGTCAGCCGCAGGGTTTTCTTCACCCACAATATCCTCATCACTTATGTCGTCTCCGCAAAGCTATTTATGGTCTTAAACAGGCCCCACGAGCATGGTTTCATCGATTCAGTAGTTTTCTCCTTGCTCATAATTTTTTATGTAGTAAGTCAGATAACTCTCTGTTTATTTATCGCCAGGGCACTTCCATTATTTATTTATTGTTATATGTGGATGACATTATTGTTACTGGCAATTCTTCCTCTATTGTTTCTGAATTTATCCACCTTGTTGCTCGTCAATTTGCAATGAAAGACCTGGGTGATCTTCACTATTTTCTTGGCATTCAGGCCAGCAAGAATCCCGGTCCCGTTGTCCCATTCCGTTATATCCCGAAACCGTACCGGTGTTGTCCCGTTCCGTTTGGATCTCATTGATTTTGTCCCACACCGGTCCCGTATCGGTTTAAAACGGGACGGGACCGGGACATTGGAAGGTTATCCCGAACTGTCCCGGTGTCCCGTTTGTAATAACTATATAGATTTTATAGCATGTGACTAGTGTGTAATGTCAACTCAAAAAATAAATGGTAACATGTTTTTAGTTCTTCAAGCCCAAATTTTAAATTAAAAATAATACCTAACATGAATATTTACTAACATAGATTTTTATCCCACTTTATATATCTACATATGAGTATCTCACAGCTAGAACACATGTTTTTGAATAAACTAATTCATTTTTGCTTTGTTTTAAATTTAAATTTCAAATTTTGCTAAACCTAACTAAAATCTAATACGTGGTAGCTTTTAGCTTGTGATGAACATCAATTAACTTTTAAAATGTTAATATTTTGGTGCATGATACTTTAGAAATGCTAATATATATTAATTACAAATGATTATTTTTTGTTAGTTTGGGACGTCTCGAACCGTCCCGAACCGTTCCGAACCATCCCGGTCCCGATTTAAATGGGACAAGACTAGGACAAAGGCTTGTCCCGTACCGTCCCGTACCGTTATTATTAATTGGGACGGGACCGGGATAACCCTAATCCCGAACCGTCCCGACCCATGCCCACCCCTAATAAGAATAGTAATAAGATGCACGCAGTCACACAGAATATAAACGGATACGAAAAACATCTTAAGATTGTTAAGCAAAATTCATGTAAATCTGCATGCATTAATTCGATAAATTTTTTTTATCTTCTTCTTTTTTTTACTCTAGGGGGTCTGGGGAGAGGGGGGCTGGGGAGAGCCTGGAGTAATCAGGGCTGAAACTCACTCCATTGAGTTTTCAACCCTTGTGTGCCTAGCGGGATTCGAACTCGAGACCTCCCACTAGGCACGGACGCACAGTAACCTCACAACCAGCTGGGCCAGAATGCTTGGTAAAAGAAAATACTTGTATCGACCGAGCCCAACAAAAGTGTTGTTTCCTTAAGACGTTTTTGCGCAACACACGTAGCAAGTGTCTCCCAGGATAGAACGGTGCTTCGCTCCCAACGGGATTCCGACGAACTCAAAGATACAACGAAGGAAGAGAGAATATGAAGGAACTGTTTTGGAATTTCGGATTAGATGAAAATGCAGGCAAGCATGGGTATATATAGAGCTCTGGCCAGGAGACTCTACACCCAAAAGACACCTTTAGAGAGAATAGTTGTGACCCTCCTAAAAACAAAGGATGTGTCTATTGCCAAACATTATCTAAGTAATTGAGAACGACAAATAGAATTATCTTTAAGCCATATACTCGAGCGGAAGGTTTAAGACTCTAACCCGAAACCCGACCCGACTGACTAGACGGCGGCGACGGTGTTTACGTGTGAGATATAATTTCACACTTATCTTTCGGGAAACAATTTCTTATTCATTTCAAAATGATTTACTACAAATAATATTAATAACCATAATATTAATTTGTAGAACCATTTTTCCAACCGTACGTACTAAAACTATGATCACTTAACTTAGCACAGATAGTCGATCTTAAAGAGTACACAAAAACAAAAAACTACTAGTCACATTATGTTACTTTACCTTCTACGTTTGAGCTTCTTTTTTGTCCCAGTTCACACGCTACTATTTTGATTCCTAAATGGGCATGTTTGGAAAAACAGGGTTTTTTTTAGAAAGAAAGAATAATACCATTAAATATCTTCCCACTTTCCTTTTTTTAGACTTAACATTTATATCTTCTCATTTCTAAATCTTTCCATCATACCCACAATAATTTAAAAATTAGTACACTATTACACCTACCTTTTTTGGATTTATCCTTCACTCCATCACATTATATCACTGTCTTCCCATCATACCATCAATAATTTATATTTCCTTTCACTATTCTTAATCTCACCACTTTGGAAGTGGGAAGATATATGGGATACGGGAGGGAGTACCAAATAATATCATCATATATTCATACTCAAATTAAAATTGATTAAAATTAGTTATAAAACATATGGAGTGTGTTATTATTTGTACATATACTTCTTCCCTCCAATAAAATTCTTCTCACTTACCATTTTGATATGTCTAAAAAAACCCTTCTCATTTTTTTGGAAAGTTATATGTGGCTAACATTTATTTACTTTTTCTTACTCAACAACACTAATACATTTTTCACTTTATTCTCACTTTCTTAAACTCTGTTCAAAGTCAAATTAAGAAAAGTTTTATGTGATAGATCGAGAGATCGAGTAAGTAATAGTGAGTATCGTCTAAACTTTAAGGTACATTATAACGTTATTTTGTATTAGCACACCTTTGCCATGATTTTGACGATGCAATTCACACTATGGTTAAAAGTGGATTCAATTTCGTAAAATAAAGAGTAAATCATTGTCAAAAGTGCACATATATGATTACATAATGCCTTCCTAAAATAGAAAGAATTCACTCTTAATTGAGAGAGCTTTATACTTTGAATAGTCCCCCTAAGTTTGGGACAAGAGAAGGTGGCACAGTTATTAATAAAAGCGAGTTTATGTGGTTGATATTGAATTGATAAAGTAAGAATAAAGTAGGAATGATTTAGAACCACACAAACTTTACCAAATAAGGTATGAGACAATCTTAGTGGGACGGACCGAAATGGTAAAATGGGACAATCATAGCGGGACGGAGGGAGTATCAAATAAATTGTATTTTAAAAATAAAACATACTACCTCCGTTCTCTTTTAGTTGCAACATTGGACTTTTTACACTATTCACATGTTCTACTTTGACTACATTTTATTAATTGATGTATAATAAATTAAATTTTTAAAAAATATTGTTAAATTCTTCTCATTCTAAATTTTCAAAATATGATTTTTTTAATTTTTTTACTAATACGGAATAAAAGATATTAATGGGCAAACTTGTGCATTGGCAAACGTGAAATGTTGACTGTTGCAATTAAAAAGGAATGGAGGAAGTAGTTTATTTCTTCATCATTGCTATATATGGACATTTTATGGATGCTATACTCATATAAACCAATTTGCACATTTTATGGATGCTATACTCATATTTGGACCAATTCATAACTTGTAACATGACAAGAACCAAAACACGTGCTCACGGTACAAGAACAATAATAACAATAATTTACTTTATAAGTTCGATAAATTATTATTGACTAGTGATATACTAATACTATCGTATATAAACTATAGTATACTATCGTATACTAATTTTTTTTTACTAATACTATCGTATATGAAATATAGTATATGCCACCCAGAAATATGATTGAATTGGGATCCATCATAGAGGTACGTTATAGGTAGGTGTTGTCGGATATAGGAAGTCAAAGGAGAGGCAACACTATAATTTATCTGGTACGAGACTGAATTAATGTCAACTGCATTTTCTCAACTCAGTTAATTTGCACTCAACTTTATTTCTTCATCATTGCTATATACGGAGTAAATTAAAGTGATCCTAATCATCCAGAGTATGAACATGACTAGAATGTCTTCAAACTTCAAAACAAAATTAGTACGTAACAGACAAATTAAGATCAAGAGTATTAAAGTGATCGACTTTTTTTTTGGACTTATCAGCCTTATCAGCCAATTATTTCACCAAACACATAACTTTTAATTTCGCGTATTGAAGCCTAAGTGTGTTTACTATTCCATATATGTACTGTACTAGTTGACTAGAATTATTATTTGCATAATACTTGTATTATTGCATGGCCCATGCAACTCTTTCCTAGCAAGTACTCTTCATACTCATTGTATTATATATGTACGTAGATGTATTGAGAAAATGATAAGGAGAATTCCTCCGCTATTCTTCACGTATAACTTCCGCACTTATTTTAGTATTTTAGTTTCATTCTCATTCTCAATTAATAATATTTATCATGGTATCAGAGCCGAAATTCTGGAAATAAATTTCTACATTTTTTTCTTAAGCTATGGCAGTTGGTGATGTTCTCATTAAAACTAGCTATGAGGCTATGGGTTGCTTCTTTTCTAGTGCTCAAGTGAATATGGCATACATATCACCAAATGCTCGTCCTTGGATAATTGATTCCGGAGCAACTGAACATATCACCTGTAGTGATATTAATCTTTTTAATATCCGTCAGGTGCCAGATTCCTCTGTCAGAATTCCTAACGGTGAATCAATTCCGGTTCATGCCGTCGGAAGTTTACACTTACCCAATGGGCTACGTCTTGAACGTGTCCTATACATTCCAAAATTTCAATGCAACCTCCTTTCAGCTAGTCGCTTAACTAATGATCTAAATTGTACATTAACATTTTTTTCAGACTTCTGTATTTTACAGGATGTGCCATCAAGGAATCTGATTGGCGTGGGTAAATTTCGTGATGGTCTCTATTACCTGGAGAACACGAAAAGTGAGAGTGTGGCAATGTCAGTCTCAATTACTCCTGATGTATGGCATCAACGTTTGGGACATGCATCTGATGGAAAAATACATCACATCAGTTCTCTCAAGGGATTTCAACGTAGCAATAATTTTTGTGATCCCTGCATCCGAGCTAAGCAGACTAGACTACCCTTTCCTACAAGTGCCATTAAGACAACTCATTGTTTTGAATTGATCCATTGCGACATTTGGGGCGGTTATAGATGTGATTCAATCTCCGGTGCACGGTATTTTCTATCTATTGTTGATGATTTTACCAGAGGCGTATGGGTTTACTTAATGAAAAATAAATCTGAGGTTTCTCAACTTTTAATCCAATTTTGCAACATGGTAAGTACCCAATTTGAGCAAAAAGTAAAACGAATACGGACTGATAATGGTGTAGAATTTCAAACCAAAAATTTGTTTGATTACTATGGGAGCAGTGGAATATTATTAGAGACGTCATGTACAGACACACCACAACAAAATGGGGTTGTTGAGCGTAAGCATAGACACATATTAGAGATTGCGAGGGCACTGCGTTTCCAGTCTGGATTACCTATTGATTTTTGGGGAGAATGTATTTTAACTGCTGTTTATATTATCAATAGGCTTCCCTCGCCCATTATTTCTAACAAAAGCCCTTTTGAGATGTTATTTGGAAAGGTTCCTAGCTATGATCATTTACGTGTATTTGGGTGTTTGGTGTATGCCCACGACAACAAAAGAAAAGATAAATTCAGTGAAAGGGGGAGTCCTTGCATATTTATTGGGTACCCAAATGGTCAGAAAGCTTATCGAGTTTTTGATTTACAAAATCATAGTGTCTACAGCTCTCGGGATGTAACATTTTATGAAGATAAATTTCCATTTAAAATCAATTTCGATCAAGAACTTGATTTTTCAGTGATTGTTGAAAAGGTTTACAACCACGTATTGGGATATGAGTCTCCTACACCGCAGCATAACACTTCACCGAACAGATCTGATGTTTATCATAATAGAGAGCAATCGTTGGAGCATAGTAGCGGCGGTCCCACACCCGCAAATACGGATCAGCTGCTGCCGGGCCAAATTGAATTGTTAGCTAGCGAGCAGATGCACCAACACTATGGACAGTTGCATGGTCCTCCTCCAACTCCTGTACATGAATACCCCACACCCAAAATAATTGACCACCAACAAGCTCCTCATGAAACTGCTACGTATGAAGACCCAAAATTGGATGAAATAAACCAGCTGCAAACTGACCCACCTACTAAACAATTGACGGTACACTCTCACATCTCTCCGCAAAAGACAATTACCGCGGACCCCATTTTACAATCAGTCCAGAATACTCCATGTATTGCGCCGAGTTTGCTGCCAAAACGAAGTGATCGTAATCGCAAACTACCAAAACATCTTGATAATTTTGAGACTGACTTGCCACCTTCACTTGATCATTCACGATCCACCGCTAACTCAGTGAACTCGAAGGTATACCCTATTTCAAAATACATTAGTTATGAAAAATTTTCGTGTACTCACAAAGCATATTTAGCGGCCATCACTTCTCGTGATGAGCCGAAATATTTTTCACAGGCTGTACGAGATCCTTTATGGAGAGATGCCATGCAAAAGGAGATTAATGCATTAGAAGAAAACAACACTTGGATTCTAGTCCCATTGCCACCCGGAAAAAGAATTGTTGATTCTAAATGGGTTTATAAAATTAAATATAAACCCAATGGTGATGTGGAACGTTACAAAGCTAGATTGGTTGCTAAAGGTTTTACTCAAGTTGAGGGTATTGATTTTCATGAGACTTTTGCTCCGGTTGCTAAACTTGTCACTGTACGTTGTCTTTTGACTATTGCAGCCAAACGTAATTGGATAGTGCATCAACTGGATGTTAATAATGCTTTTCTTCACGGTGATTTATCTGAAGACGTTTATATGCGTATACCACAAGGTTTCATGAAAGACGGAGATACTCGTGTTTGTAAATTACAAAAATCTCTATATGGATTGCGTCAAGCATCTCGCAATTGGTATCACAAATTCACTCAAGCTCTAACTCAAATTGGGTTTCGCCAATCAAAAGCGGATCACTCCCTATTTATTTTTTCTCAGGGTCCCATAAACACCTTTGCACTTATCTATGTTGATGATGTCATCTTAGCTGGAAATGATAGCTCCCATATCTCGACGGTCAAAGGCTACTTGGACGCCACTTTTAGCATCAAAGATTTGGGGAAACTGAAATACTTTCTGGGTATCGAAGTTGCTCGTTCTCCTGAGGGCTTTGTTTTGAGTCAGCGAAAATATACCCTGGATATTTTAGAAGAGAGTGGTTTCTTAGCCGGCAGACCCAGCCTATTTCCCATGGAACAAAATTTAAAACTTCGTCCCGATGATGGTAGCCCACTCATAGATGCCTCCCTATACCGCAGATTAATTGGGCGACTATTATATCTTACAGTGACTCGTCCAGATATAGTCTACTCAGTTAGTCAACTTAGCCAATTTCTCAGCTCTCCACGCCAAACACATCTTGATGCAGCTATTCGTGTGCTTCGGTATTTGAAGCAAACACCTGGTCAAGGCATTTTTCTATCATCTGATAGTGATATCACCTTGACAGGTTATTGTGATGCTGATTGGGCCGGATGCTCTTTTACTCGCCGATCTAGCACTGGCTATTTTATCACCCTTGGAGCTTCACCTATATCATGGAGGACAAAGAAACAGTCTGTTGTCTCTCGCTCTTCTGCTGAGGCAGAATACCGCGCCATGGCTGTAACAGTTAGTGAAATTCTATGGTTACGATGGTTATTACGTGATCTTACGGTTCATCAACAACACCCGACATTACTTTACTGTGATAATCAGGCTGCACGACATATTGCGCTTAACCCAGTATTTCATGAACGTACCAAGCATGTCGAAATGGATTGTTATTTTGTACGAGAACGTGTTGCTAGTAATGAGATCCGGCCAAAATTCATTTCAACAGAGAATCAAGTGGCCGATATATTTACAAAAGCACTAGGGGCAGACCGTTTTCAGTTTCTTCGTAGCAAGTTGGGTGTTCGTGACCTACACACTCCACCTTGAGGGGGAGTATTGAAGCCTAAGTGTGTTTACTATTCCATATATGTACTGTACTAGTTGACTAGAATTATTATTTGCATAATACTTGTATTATTGCATGGCCCATGCAACTCTTTCCTAGCAAGTACTCTTCATACTCATTGTATTATATATGTACGTAGATGTATTGAGAAAATGATAAGGAGAATTCCTCCGCTATTCTTCACGTATAACTTCCGCACTTATTTTAGTATTTTAGTTTCATTCTCATTCTCAATTAATAATATTTATCATCGCGCGCTGAATTGTGTAATAATCAAAATAAATAAGGTTGAAGTTATTTTTCTGACCACATTAATTGGAGTTACTGTAGAGTACTATTTTAACTATTTTTTTTCATTAATCATCACAATCAAACAACATAGTCATTTCAACCACAACTTAATAAATTTCAGCAGAATTAGCCGATTTAGCTAATTTCTGTGTTACCAAACGGACTCTGAATAAATTATACGGAGTACTACGTATATGTGTAAAATTGTTATTTTTCATGATTCATAATGACTCATGAAGTGGTATTTTGCGATATTTTTTTTGTTCTATTTATATTTAAGTTTTCTGATCATAGCATGCATGTAATAATATATTGTGATGTGTGTTTATATTCGCCTTTGAATTTGTGTACTTTAATTTTGGTACATGTCTATTTGTACCCTTTTGGATTAATATCTTACACAATTCCAAAAGGCACGATACCGATGTGAAGACCACTCGTGAGCTGTTAATTTTGGTAAATTGTTAATATATTAACGAAACAAGAATTGTGTGGTGAAGAGTTGTGACAAAAAGAGAAAATAATGTAAGAAATACGATGAACCATAAATTCTTAGCCAAAAGAGAGGATTCTTTTTTGACAGACAAAAAGGAAGTTGGAAAATTAATACTAGTATGAGACATAAATAGTATCAAAAGTGATCAAGTCAAAGAAGATACGGGCTAAGGATGTTTTTTTTTAAATAAATTGGTATCTAAATCAGCCTAATAGATCACATTACACCAGACTTAAACATATCACATCAGACCAGTTAAAATTAGACCACATCATATTAGACGAGAAAATTATAGTCAAATTAAAAACATTCTAAATGTTAGATTGATATAATGCTTCCACGGACAAATTCAACAGCGAAATATCTCTTCTTTAGAGATTGGAGTTCACATTTTTGTACTACAAACAATATACGTAGTATTTTATCAAGTATGAACATAAGGGGAAAAACTTTCTTTGGTAATGGTGTTTCCCCAAAAGAGGTTATGACCACGCCCCTATCGTTATCCGTTATATACAAGGGGTCGGGAGTGGATGAACTAGGTAAAATTAAGTGCATGTGAAAGTAACAGAAACCCAATGTATGTACGTAGTATATCTAAGTCAATAAATCTTTGTTTTTTCTAGCTCCTTCCTTCATTTCACTTTATTAGCGCAGATTTGCAGGATTTTATTTTATAAGGATTTTTTTATAAGGAATAATGTAAAACAAGAAGTCACATAACTATTTTAGGCCATGTTTGGTAAATGACGTTTCAGCCAAAATTTGGCGCATTTGACCAAAATCAGCGTTTTTAATCGGTCAAAACGCTGAAGTTAAGTGTTTGGCAAACGCCAAATTTTGAAACGCTGGGATTAGGAGCGTTTTTGTTTAGCGGGTTTACAAAAATAATTAGTTCTCAACCGTACCCTCCACCTTCTTCTGTATTCTGCGTACCAGACCTTCGCCTCTGATGTATGAAGACCAGGTCAGCAGACCCTTCTTCCATAACAGGTCGCCAGGTATGTATTGCAGAGTGCAGACCTTCCCAATATTCTGCAAAGCCGTTTGTGTGCCCGGCCAGTACATGCACCGTTTAAGGAATAGCAGGCCCGGTCCTGACATTTTATGGACCCGGGACAATACAAATAGACTAGACCTCAGAGATAGTTGGGGAATGTTTATAAGGTTTGCTATAATATCTATAATTTAAAATTATACAATTTTACCGTCCAAAAAAACTATATAGGGTTAGAAAATATGGTTAGAAAATATATATAGGGTATTTGATAAGTGACATTCAAGGATACAATGTACCTAAGAGTCGAGTGAAACAAGTACTGCAATTATTAGGTGCAATAAAAATTTTAAATTAAGGAAAGTTGTGAAATTTTATTTTGTATAATTAGGAGTAACTTTTTCATATTTTAGATCACATTTTCACTAGACAAAAACAAATTCTACGTTTCTAAATTATAGACACTAAAGTTCAATCTTTCACTAAATGAGAGAACCGGAGGAAATTTGTGAAATATATCAATAAGTTCTGGATATACCTAAGACATGTATACTAAAAGAGTAAAATTAATGTAATAATCCGTAATGATTCAAAAGAAATGGTGAAATATGTTCTCAATGAATTCTAATGTGGATGTTTCGAAATTATAGACTTGTATCGTGTAGATGCTAAATAACTAATTAGAAGTATCTAAAAAATCTAAGTTTGATTTTATATGTTACCTTTTGTAGATTTAGGATGTACATATAATTAAAATAGTGATGTACACAAACACACACATATTTGAGAAATTTATGTGCTCTACTGGAGCAAAGGGCCCTGGGCGCGTGCCCTTCCTACCCATGCCGTCACGCCCCGGACCTACCGGACACGTCAACAACCCACCGTACAGTACGAATAGTCAACCGCAGTCCAACTCATCCATACTATACTAGGCGTCTTGAATATCATTCACAATAGTACATCCATAAACAATCATAATGTAAATATACAATTAAGCAGCGGAAACATTAATACAAGTGTTCAGGCCACACAAGGCAAACATGGGCATACAAGCCCCCAAATAAGTATTCGAAAAATAATATCCATGAGCATTTAATATAGTTATTTTTAAAACAGATACGGAGGAAGCACGAACCACGTCTTCTCTCCTTGGATCTTCCCGGAGCAATGGGCGATGGTAGCAACCTTCAAGTTCTACCTGAAACTGTGAGGTGGCCTCCCCCGTGAAGGGGAGGTCAGTACTTGGAAGCATTTGACAAGTACACAATGACAACTATACTAAGTATAATCAATGTTTCAATTTCCAAGACCCTCAAATAGGATGATATTATATTATAGGTCATAACCCTTGGTTACCCTCTTTGAAAATATACTTACTTTATATATAAAGTCAAGTAGTCGGCCCGAAGGCCCATGTTTACTTTGAAAACATTCAACCCTTTCCCCGTCACTTCAAGCCACGCCCATCTATATTAGTTCACCATGCTAGAGGCTTCATCTAGTCATGTTTTGTCGTGCTAGAGGCTTACTCTGGTCACTCCACTTGGCGTTAGAGGTTTCCTCTAATCACCTTACATACGTTGTGCTGGAGGCTTCCTCCAGTCACATTACGTTATGCTAGAGGCTTTCTCTAGTCATCTTACATTACGCTAGAGGCTTCCTCTAGTCGTCCTACAAGAATGCTGGAGGCTTCCTCCAGTCATTCTTCATCGTGCTAGAGGCTTCCTCTAGTCACGATACTAGCTCACTAAGCAAATTATATGCCTAGAGTTCCTTTACTATGAGTAGCCCTTGAGGTCTACTCCTACGGTAACTTAGCGTTTACCCATTTCTACCTTAAGACATCTCATAAGACTACTTAAGGTACCTCTCTCACAATCCAAGCCCTTAGAATTTGTTCTATCACATTTCATACTAACATTCCGACTAGTATATTCAATACTAATCCATTAATCTTTAAGCCACCAAGCTCTTTAATTCATAGTTATAAGGTTCATTCCTATGAATTTTTCAATCCGTATATGATTTAATTTCAATATCAAAATATCACTTTTATCCATTCATGATTCTATACATGAAGTAAAAGTATATTTCATCACAAAAATTCATGGTTTATACAATCATCATATCATCATACTTGTAATGATACACCATTTACTCATAAATTTGTATATTATGCATCTTCTATTCATACACAATAGTATTTTCATTTAGGCATTATTAATCACTAATAATCCATGAAAAATCACATTTAATTAACTTAGGTAATCTTATGAAATTAACCCAAGGATTATAAGCAATATAGTCAGCCATTCTCACCTTGTGATGTGCTCAACTAGCTGCCTTAGCGAAACCCCTCGATCCGTCCTCGTTCTAGGCCGTTCAAGAGTGAAAAATCTGGACAAAGGGTGAAAGCCGGGCGGCTTTCACAAAAGCTGGGCGGCTTTTGTGGTATGCAACTACGAACAGCCTCCTATACTTGGCGGTTTCCGGCGGTTTCAACTCCTATCGATTCCACGACTCTTCTAAGTTAAATACCACCACTTTATAACAATATTACACACTTTTAAACGTGTAGAACTCCACCTTTAATCCACCATATGATTTCTTAAAAATCATACAACATAAAACTAGTTAAAATAAGAGTTGTGTTCTTACCTCTCCTTCTAGCTAGTTTTCTCTTGGGATTTCCTTGCTATATGTTTCTTCCATGTTTGGACTTTGTGAGAGCTTCCTCCAGGCCTCTCTCTTCTTTCTCTTGGTTCATATGAGTGGAATGGGAAAGGGGAGGTATCTTTCCTCAACCAAGCCAAAAAAATAATGCTTGAAAGGGACATGGGGTGTATGAGTTGTCTCTACTCATCCCTTCCTTCAATCATTCGCACACCACCCTCCCATCATGTCTCCCTACCTATTGTTTGAGGTCAAATGGTATGCAAAATACCCAAAGTGGGTGTAGGAAGTCCCTCCCAATTATTCCTGCTATTTTTGGCAGGTTGGGCCAAAATAGCACTCAATTGGGTTGTCCAAACGTTTTTATCTACTTTAGTTGGCACTTTATTGGGCTTCTAAAATTATTATGATGACCCAACTAAATATTTTGGAGTCCATTTTCATTATTAGGAACCCGATAAATAATTTAATTAATCACACATTAATTAAATATACCAATTCCGTTACACGATTTTATTTGCTGGGAAATTCAAATACATATCAAATTCCAAATTCAAGTACATCCGGGTGCGGTGCCACACATGCTCTAGGACCAGCCCTGGGGAATAGGATCTTGAGTTCTTGACTGACAAATTAAAAGTGCCCAACGATATTCATGATCGTTTTTACATGCCAATTTGCTAATTTTCATAGTTTAAAGTTTGAAGTTATGCTGTTAGAACAT